CCCCAAAACCCCAAAACCCCAAAACCCCAAAACCCCTAACTTTTCTTTAATAACTGAAACATAAAACAAACTGTGATGTAACAAAAACGGGCATCAAATTTAACACAAGAACTAAATTTTATACCTTTACTGACTCTTTAGATCAATTCCTCCACTAAATTTGTAGATTTAATTAATTTCTACCACCTAAAAGTCATCTGCAGAGTAAATTTCACAAACTACATCTAAAATCCTTTCAACACGGCTAAAAATCAAATCTCAGATATAACCCCTCTAAAATCTCACCACTCACAACCCCCAATCCAGTTCAACCCCCAAATTCCGAATTCACTGAACACTGAGCAAATCATTGATCATCAAAATCCCCTAAAATTCTTAAAATTTCAGTAAAATTTCCCCACACAAATTCTGTTACAGTACAAACTCAATTATATTAGTTGTCAAATTTGGAAGCTGTTGTAAGCAGCAGGAGTAGCAATATAGTGAAGGCACCCAACTGATCCCAGTTCTATAAGATCTATATCTACTTGTGAATCACTAAGGACCCCTCCATCATAGAGTAAGGCTGATAAAAATTGACTAAATATAGCTTCTCTAAAGGTTCCCCAATCCTCAGACCAAATTACCCCATCCAAGACCCCAAAATCCCACTCTCCATTCCCCCAACGAACAGGACTCACAGGAGCCTTAGTATTCCTCCTTTTCCCCTCCAAAGTTCCCCTCCCCCAACCCTTGCTTCAAATTGATCTTGAGTACATCCACTCTTGTCTATAAGCACTCTATATTCCAAAGAACAATAATTAGACTTAAAATTTTAGAAAACTTAGTGCCTTGACATCCTAGAGCTAATGCGACTGGCAGTTTAGAAATACGTTTAAGAGAAATTACAGAGTTTAGGGTGGTAATTTAGGGGATCTGTATTAAGTTAAGGCTTTTTAAGTTAAAATTTTGACCTAGACTGGGCTAAATTGGATTTTTGGGTCAGGAAGTTAGGTTTGGTATAGTAGACTCGTTTTTGTACGGATTTATTGTAATTAATGGTTATTTAGAAGATTTTAGTTGGTGATAGTAGAGAGAGGGGTGAATTTAAGGTAGACTGATATTTAAAGATTTTACATTAATCTCTTCTGTTGATCTGGATTATTTAATGCTTTCCTTATCTGATGTTACATTCATGATAACTACAAATACCAAGTCTACATCTCTTCAATAGATCAGAGAGTCTAAGGCTCAGATGATCTCACAAGTGTCAGGATGCACACTAGGAATGTAATTTTCTTTAAAAAATGTCATTATCACAGTATTCTTCATTTTTAGAACTTTTGATCGTTTTCTGCTTTAATACAAAAGCCTTCAGGTTTTGTAGCACACTTAATCTGCTTCCTAAATTTTGTGTTAAAATCAGTCAGATATTCCGAAGCAAGCATCTTCATTTTTCTGAGATTAAAGAGTTCATCAGAATTTAGAGGCAAGAGTATTTTTATCCCAACCTTGAAATTTATGATCCTATGGCTTAGGGAAAATGTATACAAGAACCATTGGATTTATAAAGTTATATTGACTATTTTAGAGCTCATGAGGAAGACTCTTACTTTGCTCAATCGAAAAGATTGATAGCAAATCCTAAGAATAATCAAAAGCCTTATTCCATCCAAATGATTATTAAGCATCTCATTTCATGGCACGATTAGATTTGGGCATGTTTATAGGAAAGTTTTAATCTTGATCATGAAGTTCTTACCTGGAGGCTCACAACATAAGGAAAATGTCTTCCTACTGAGAGGTAGATTCAATAAAGGAGGAAGCTGCTTAGAAGTTTCAGGAATGCCTGAAAGGCCTTTGTTTCTTTGTTGACTAGAGTATTAAGCTATAAAATCTTACTTTTTTAAATCAAGAGGTGAATTGCTCGTCTTGCAATGAGCAGACTTTATTCTATTGAATTTTTCCTGATCCTTCTTATCATCTTTCTCTAGCTCATTTTTATCCTTCTCTCATTCCGATTTGTGATGGCTAAGAAGAGAGCCTCCTGAGACCGACGGGTCTCTATTATCCAAACCTGGAGTTCTAATTTTATTTCATCTATTTTTGCTCATTTTTAGCACTTCCATTAGCTGTTCATGAGTCATCCTTTTGTTGTCTTCTCATGAATTTCCTATCCTTCTATACAACATTACTAAGAGACGAGTTACTCAGAAAGACTAACTTTTATGGGATCCTTCTGGTTATATGACAGCTTGGGAAATCTCTTTGCTAAATGGGATTAATCTCTCTGAGGATTTACAAAGACTTACCAGCAGACATTCACCGGTTCTTCTTTTCCTCCATTTTCAAATTCAAATTTGGGTAGTAAATTAAGGTTCTGGAACTATCATTCTGCTCTCCCTTCTGAGTTTTCATATGATCTTCAATAATTTTAGACGCATTATGAGTCATTGCAAGAGAATCCTCATTTGAAGACTTTGTGCGCCTCTTCTGTGCCTGAAATCCAGACACAAGTTTTCCTTGTTTGCGTATTTTCCCTGGTTTTAGTATTTTTATCTTATGAAACTTATTTTAATTTTCTAAATTTAGGATAATTACTAACCTTAGTCGCTTCTCGTTCTTTTTAAATAAGCTCTGCTCTGAAATCATAATATTCAGGGATTCTTGATTTTTTCACATTTGTTCAGTCAAGAATAAACTGTCTATTTGTTCGTTCTCTTAAGAACTTTGGATACCTGAACAGAAGGGACCTCACTGATTCCACTAAGGCTAGAGAAAGATGAGTTTGATACAATTGGGATTTACCTCTTAGTACTTTCGAGAGTTTTAGACTGGTTCTTCGCTTCATGTAGTCTATTATTGATTTTCACTCGATTAATTGGAGGCTTCGCGTTCTTGACAGACGATCATTGGGTACTCATTTTCCTAATAAATTATAATTCTTCAGCATTTTTAGATAAATTTGGGGTTTTGGGGTTTTGGGGTTTTGGGGTTTTGGGG